CGCCGTTGCCAGCTGAAACTCTACAGTGCAAAGAGGAAGCCATTTCTAAGCAAGCTCCACAAGCTCAGACGTTTGCACTGGGCCAGGGGTCATTTAAAATGGAGTGTGGCAAAATGGAAGACTGTTCTGTGGTCAGATGAGTCACGATTTGAAGTTCTTTATGGAACACTGGGACGCCATGTCATCCGGACCAGAGAGGACAAGGATAGCCCAAGTTGTTATCAACGCTCTGTTCAGAAGCCTGCATCACTGATGGTATGGGTTTGCATGAGCGCTTGTGGCATGGGCAGCTTGCATGTCTGGAAAGGCACCATTAATGCAGAGAACTATGTTCAGGTTCTAGAACAACATATGCTCCCATCTAGACGTCATCTCTTTCAGGGAAGACCCTGCATTTTTCAACACGATAATGCCAGACCACATTCTGCAGCAATCACAACATCATGGCTACGTAGGAGAAGGATCCGGGTACTGAAATGGCCAGCCTGCAGTCCAGATCTTTCACCTATAGAGAACATTTGGCGCATCATAAAGAGGAAGGTGCGACAAAGAAGGTCCAAGACGATTGAACAGTTAGAGGCCTGTATTAGACATGAATGGGAGAGCATTCCTATTTCTAAACTTGAGAAACTGGTCTCCTCTGTCCCCAGACGTCTGTTGAGTGTTGTAAGAAGAAGGGGGGATGCCACACAGTGGTAAAAATGGACTTGTCCCAATTTTTTTGGGATTTGTTGACGCCATGAAATTTGGAAACAACAGATTTTTCTCTTAAAATGATACATTCTCTCAGTTTAAACTTTTGATCTGTGATTTGTGTTCCATTCTGAATAAAATATTAGATGTTGGCACCTCCACATCATTGCATTCAGTTTTTATTCACAATTTGTTTAGTGTCCCAACTTTTTTGGAATCCGGTTTGTACAGTCTATTTACAGTTTTTATTTGTTTTATTTTTTTAGCTATATCAAAGGGTGTTCCTGAAGCAGACACAGTCAGCCAGGACAGGTACATATTTAAATAAAAGTTTTAAACAAGTATTTCTGTATATGGTAAATATGTGTTTAAATACTGGTATCTCCTTTAAGCTCCCACGAGCATGGAGTAAAGACAATGGGAGGGGCTCTTCCCTCTTCCTCCCTCTTCCGGGCTCCACTGAGCAGAAATCTCGTCACATTTATTATTATTTATTAATATTATTATGTATTGTTGCCAAAAGTGTTAACAATAAAAATCAATGGTAGTAGTTTAATGAATATTTACTGTATTTTGCTGGTGTCTCTCGGTCACATGACCTCGCTAACGATGTGGGTAAAATTGGCCGGTATATAATTTTGGTATGTAGGTGTCTGGCACGTTTCTGTCCAGTGATTATGCTTAGAAAGTTATTGTGTTCATTTTGTAGGTTGAATGGTTTTAGCCATGAGTCAGACAGTGAAGCATCATAACGACTTCTGACGATCACCAAGCCAATGTCTATGAACCGCCATCTGGTGGCTGATTGTTGTACTACCATAGATCAGTTATGTCGGTGCTAAGATGGTGACAACATCTTCGCACCGCCATAACTGGTTTGTTCCATTTTGGAGTAAGCTGGTTGGGGGAAGAATCAGTTTTGTGTTGTGTGTTCCTTGACTGATGAAGCCTTCCGGATGGACAGTGACGCGTTTCAGCAAAAAGAAGAGACTGTCCAGATGACCTGACTGAAAATTGTTGGACAGGAGGTCAATCTTATTTTCTTACTACTTCCTATATTCTCCCAATTTTAATTTTTTTAATATCCTAGAACTTAAACAAAACAACAATTCTGATGCATATATGTTGATGAACCAAAGCTACTGAAATTGTGAGTATGCTTGTTTGAAAAATATTCCTGCCATCAGATCTCGGTTAGCATCAACACCGGTGTTATACTGAACATAACATTCGTTGGTGGACATAAATACAGTACAGTAATACTCTATTCACAAAATACTAAAAATATGTTCATCTTACTTGTGAAACGTTATCCCACGAGACCTGACGTCAACAGTCCATCAATTCGAAGAGAAATAAGCTGAGCAGTGCTGAGACATCTTCTGCTCTTCTGGTTTAACCAAATAAGAAGGACTGCTCCAAGATGGCGGCCGTATTTCCTGCGCCGTAGCAGCCAATGCGGGATCTAGTGTTTATATAATATCTGTGTGTACTACAACAATTCAATTCAATTCAGTTTATTTATAAAGCGCCAAATCACAACAAAGTTGTCTCAGGGCACTTTACAGAAAAATTCACATAAAAGCCACTTAGTAGTTCTCTATCTAAGGAATCCAGCAGACAAGATGAATCTTGGCTTCGTTGCAGTCTCCCATCCTGAGCAAGTACAGTGGAGACAGTGGAAAGGAAAATCTCCCTTTTAAAGGAAGAAACCTCCAGCAGAACCAGGATCAGGACAAGAGACCATCTGCTTTGACCGGCTGGTTGAGAGGACAGGAAGGAGAGACAGACGAACACAGAATGGTAGGTCCAGGTATAGGTCCAGGTGTATCTGAACAACAAGAACAACAAGAGCTGCACATAATGTGTACACAGATTGTGATAATGAACGGTGGATACCTTCAGTTTAATAACCACAGCATCTTATTAATGTACAAAATTATGATCTATGATCATAATTCAATAATAATTAGGATCTATCTTCCCCTTCACATATAATGGTTTGACACCTACAGTATGTCTTACAGCTATCTTGAAACAACTTGAAACTAAACTATTTTAAAGATTAGTTTTAATGCAGCATTTTCCCCAAGCTTTTTGTGTGTGTGTGTGTGTGTGTGTGTGGGTGGGTGGTGGTGGTGGGGGGGGGGGGGGTGACTCACTTACAGCATCACCTAACCTCTCCATGAAGGTCAGAGCATGTACAGTATTAAACTAATAAACATCTGTACATGCTCGCTCATTACCAATTCATTAAGGCTGGGGGACATGCCAAAAGCTGATGCATCATCATACTTCCACGCACCCCGACGTAAGAGGCCACAGTATACCTGCAGTCCAAACTTTACCTGAGGTTAAAGGGATCCAGGATTATCCCCTGAGGCATGCTCTGATCTGGACCTAACTATACCCTGGTTTAATCAGGACAGGGGTTAATTTGACCTGTTACATTAATGCTTTTGGAGTTTGGGAAGTAGGGTTGAGTGATAGGCTAAGAAATTTACATCCACCAACATCAGTACAACTACCAACAATTGATGATATATTTGCATGGGATATTAAGTGAATATTTTAAGGAAAGAAATGGAAACCTGAAAAAAAAAAAAATCCTACAGACAAACTTACACCAAGAACTGGCCTGTGGCTAACTTCTTACATGTCCTTACTGTTCCAACAAGTGATATTTTGGAGAGCTTGAACATGCACAAAACATATCTTAAACATATTTCCTTGATGAATTGCAGTGTGGAACGAGAAAGCACAGAGATGCAGCAAAGAAATAAGTCACAGTTAATTTTAGTTCAATTAGAAACCTTCAGCAGATATGACATCAATTCAATTGCTAAGGAATGTCAGATGTGAGTCTTAAGACAACATCATTCCACTTCTGTATTGATATGACTAGCCATTAGCTCATCAGTCTGGTCAGAATTGAACAAGGCTCAGTAGCTATGTTTACATGCGCAGAATTCTTTGGCGGATTGAAATGTGTTCTGTTTGAATAATTCAAATGTATTGTTTACATGGGCACAATCTGTTCATGACGAGCGTTCACATGCAGTGGGCTTTGTTCTGAACAGCAGTACTGACATGCGCAGAGTGGTAAACTCTCCTTAAAAAAACCACCGAAGAAGAAGTTCTACTTCCGGGTGAACGTAAACAAACCTGAGAACCCAAAATGGACCCTGGACAGGTTTTATTGATGGTGGAGACGTTACTGCACTCCCTGACTGAGCTACAGGTGATACAGATCATTTTGAGCTCTTTAAAAGTTTCTAGTAGAAATGTTGTGTCGCTCACCGACCAGTTTTACTTCCCTGACATGCTAATATTATTAGCATTAGCCAGGCGGAAATGGCAAAGTTGCACATGCGCAGTCAGGTCAGTTATTCACGATCAGATAAAAATGAACAGATCAAGTGTTTACATGCGCACCTATCGGGTTACGAATCAGCGTAAACCACCCGTTTCGTTCTGATCACAAATTATAACGGATCGCGCCGAATACACAAAAAATAACCCGAACGGAGTGTTTACATGACACACTTTTATTCCGACCGGCCATTTGATCCGGTTACTTATGTCCATGTAAACATACCCAGTGTTTCCCCTAGGTCACTTGCCTTGAGAGGGCGCTCGTTGACGTTTGTTGACTCAGGGTTTGTGTGTGTGTAGATGGTGGTGGTGTGTGTGTGTGTGTGTGTGTGGGGGGGGGGGGGGGGTAGCGGAGTGATATGTTAGTAATGCTGATGGGGGAGGGGTGCAAGAAGTAACCTACAACCAAGCTACAGTAACCATATTACTGCCAATACAACATTCAGTGAATTCAGAGAATACAACATTCAGTTCAAATAAAATGTTGGAAAGGAGATTTGAACTTTTACACAAGTGGAAACTCGTGGTTTGATTTTGTACTCACCTTTGGCACTCGCTGGCATGAAGAACCAGGTCCTGGCTGTTCCTAGCGCTGACTGTGAGCTCGTGTTCTGTTGGGTTGAAAATGTCGAGGAGGAGATGACACTGCCGGGTGCTGTGGACACACACACAAAGACTGACTGTAGAGTAGAAACAGACAGATTTCAGTGATGTATCACAAAAATACATCTACCTGATAAATGATACACAAGCTCAGAGAAAAATAAACTTTAGTTTTTTTCAAACTTTATTTATACAGTTAATCCCACTGAGCCTCGAGGACTCATTTACAAGAGAGACCTGAATTTTAACAAAGAATGATGACAACAGTGGACAACAACGACAGCAATAGACGATCATAAAGGATGTGTCCAAATGTATTTATTTATTTATTTTTGACAAGTGAACATAAAATGGTAATTAAAAGAATAATTCAAATGAAAAGTAGCAAAAAAACCAGCTAGATTGTAAGGTGGCGTAGAAAACTAAAAACAGGAACATGACTGCATTGGTTTTTCCCAGGAACTTAACAGATGTTTGAAGCCACTTAGAGAGGTCAAGGTTGAGAGCTTCAGATCCTTTTGCAAGATATTCCAGGAAACAGGAGCGGAGTAGGAGAAGGTCCTTTTACCTAGTTCATTCCGCACTGAGGGAACACTTGTTGGTGGCCATCTTGAACTGGGTTGACTCCTAATATTAATGAGTGGCTTATGAACATTGTGCCAGTGACAAACTGTGACTATCATCGCTGGCGTCACTATGAAAAAACTGTGAAAGATGCCAAAAGAAAATACCTGTCAAATGTGATTATATCAGTCACAATCCTCATGTTTTATTTAAAGTAATTGGTTCTATTCTTAATGCAACACAAACTAACTGTATTGCGTGCTCACCTGCTGCAATGAGGAGTTCAATGTCTGCGCGTTGTCAGCGATGCAGCACTGGACTGGTTTAAGTCCTACTTAGCATCTCTTCTCCGTGGCCTTTGACACCATCTGAGATGTTGACTTTTAATCATTTTAATCGCTTGTATTATCTGATTGTATGATTGTTTTTACACAACTTTTAATATGCGACTTTTAATCATTTCTATTATCCGACTGTATGATTGTTTTGCTGTGTGTACAACACTTTGGTCCTGTGGGAGTTTAAAGTGCTTTATAAATAAAGCTGGTATGGTATAATATAAAGACATCCTACCGAATGCTAACCTTAGAGGAACACCAGAGTTGTAGTTCAATTATGTTTTACTCTTTTCATTTCTGCAGTTAAGTGACTAACCAATAAGAAGAGCTTCTTCTCTTTTCATCCATGTGGCAGCTGTGGCTGAGTGGTTAGAGCAGTCGTCCTCCAATATGAGAGTTGGGGGTTCGAATCCACCAGCAGTCACATGTCCAAGTGTCACTGGGCAAGACACTGAACCCCTCATAGCCTCTGATGTGTGTCCCATCAGTGTATGAATGTGATCTAAAGCACTGATTAGTCTCTTTAGAATGATTTGTTCAATTATCTTTGTAGAGATCTAGTATAGAGCTGTATGAATGGGTAAATGAGACACAGATTGTTGTAAAGAGCTTTGAGTATCTTGAAATAAGATAGAAAGGTGCTATATAATTACAGTCCATTTACCATTTACCGTCCATCAAGAAAAAAACATCTGACTTATGCTGTCATTTCTTTACAGTCGCTAAAATCAACCTGAACATAAATGCCAACCTGACACTAAACAGAAAACTAACAGGAGCAACACCACTGAACACACAAACTGAAAAAGTCTAAACATTCAAAATGATTGAGAATGTCCTGCGACTGACACAATCTCTTGTATTCCAGAACAAAATGTAATTTCAATAATTCGGACTGAAATGTAACCATAACCCACAGAACTTATACAGTTTCTGTACATATTTTTGCATGTAATGAAATCAAAACACAACTTTAATATTGAAAATATTCAATGTAAATATTACTTTGATAATTAACATTCATTTTTTAGAGCAACTGCGATATCTGTGTGGATTTGTACATTTACAGATTGCAGTAGAATGCATCACAAATCTTAACCTGGTCAAAAAACAAACTACTTGCAATGCCTTCCTGAAGTCTGAAGTGTTTTGGTCCAACCAATTCTATATCAGAGTTCTGATTGGTGAATTTTCATGTCAGTTATTAAACAAACTCATCCTGGAGAGACTCCGTCTGAGTTCAGCCTTCTCTCCTGACAGTGAAGTCCTAACCAAAGACAGCACCCTCTGTTTCTGCCTGGAGACAAACGTTTAAAAACTCTGGATAACCACTTTGGCCTTGGTTGTCCACAGGCTGTTTCTGTGAGTAGCAAGTTGGCCACCTGGCCCAAAACACTGGATTGCTGTTAATGATGACTGATGGTTTCGTATGGGTGTGCTCTGTTTGCATGTGTTAAAAAGCCTGCTTCTGAGATTCCAACAGGAGGTTGGCTTGAAACACAGCAATGAAGGCTACCTATGGGACATATCTGGTTGACAGGCCGCACACTGACGAAGTCCTCTGGATGGGGGACAAAATGTTTCTTCACTAAAAGAAACAGGTCCAGATGACATGATTTAACCTTTTTTTGTTGTTATCTACCTGGGTGATTGAGCTTACAAAAGTTTTTTCTCTGGATAACTGTATTTTCATGAAATAAGCAAAAAGATTTGATCAACTGCAAAGTAGTTGACAGAAAATAGGAGAAATTTGAAGAAAAAAACTCACTACATTCAAAATATTTATTTTATACAAAGCTGTTTTTTTCTTTCTTCTTTCGACTGCTCTCTTCTTCACGGGTCGCCAAAGCAAATTAAAGGCTCCAGCATACTCGGGCGTACTTCATGGAGTACACACAGTATGCCAGAGTATGTGGGAGCCTTAAGTCACACGAAGACTTGGCAATTATTTTTATGCCGAATGTCCTTCCTGACACAACCACAGACCACCGAGCTACCACAGCCCTCTGTGTGGAGCAGAGAGCTGATATCTAGGGTGCCCAGGCGAGCAGAAGTTGGTGGTTAAGGGCCTCCTTGCTCGAAGGCCTGGGGGGGTGGGGGGTGGGGGTAGATAAGGGTGGAGGCATGCACCTTTCCCACCCACATTTTCATGTTGTCGGTACCGGGAGTTGAACCATGGATCTTCCAATCACAGGGCCACCTTCTCTAACCTCTGCGCCACGATGCTTTTCCCTTCCTCTCCCTCTTCATTTTGCTTTGCTGCTCTGTCTGTCTGTGAAACTGCTTCTGAGCCTCTCTTGCATATCTTCTGAACCATAATTATGGACTTGATTTGGTCAGTTGGTCCCTCAACACAATTGATAGCATTTCTTCAAAGAGAAGACAGGCTTTAGGCGAGCCGATTTGCACTGTTGGCATGCGTGCAGCTGGATATCTCATAGACTTGGAAGACTTGATCATGTGTCTATCTCTGCTGCCATCTGTGGATTTTAAGGACGCATATTTAATTGGATTTACGATAACTGGTTCCTGCTTTTTGGATTCGGCTGGTTGCTGGTTTTATCAACAATCAAGGAAGTCGTCGGCAGCAAATTTGGACCCGATCACTTTGCTTGCCTTTATGCTGGCTTGGTTCGTGCCTCGAGTACCCAGACTCAAATGCTTTGGGAAGAATGATCAGATCTCGGGGATTTTACTCAGGCACAGTCCACTGGTGTGGCCATGTAATTTGGACATTTCGGAACCCGAGTGGATCAACACAGACTCAAGGTAGATGTCATTAAGTTCTGCCTGTCCCCAAAATAACTGTGTGTTTATCTGAATTTGACTCCCCTGGCTGGCCTTGAAGGCCATCGTATCTGAAATCGCCTGGAGAACATGTGATCTGACGTTCACCAACCCCTCCCTGAGGAATTTCCAACTGATAACCAGAAGAAACCAGCTGAATAAACTTTGTGTCATCATTTCAGGACTCTTGGATTCCCATAGGCGTTATCCTTGGCCATTCCCCAACATCCCTTGAGAATGTTTACAGCTCTCACCTAAGGGAACTGGCTGATAATTCCATCCTTATCAGAACTCTTACATTGCCCTCGAGAGCATCAATGGACATTGCTCACCACACTCGTCATCTACCCCCCTCTGCAGAATGTCTACGTCACTATGTGTGGTTTGTGCGAGGTGATTTTTAATATTAGTTTTTCTTCTCAGCCAAGAAGAAAAAGTCTGATAGGAATTTTTTGTCTCCATTTCCTACGTGTCCATTTTCATTACTTTTTGTCTGTCTAAACAGGTCTCACTTGTAAATGAGTCTTCTAGGCTCAATGTGACTTATCTGTCTAAATAAAGGTTGAATGAATTTTGCTAACAGACATTGATTTTAACAAATAATACTCAGGATTTAGGCAAAAATCTTGTGCAATAAACACATTTTGTAGTATATGTTGTTACTGACACATCTGCAGCAAAACTGTCCGTCAGTGTAAAACTGACTGTGTTTTAACCATTTCTGTGTTTTTGAAAATCAGTTGGATGTGGCAGCCATCTTGAAATGGCTTGGCTTCCTAAGTTAATTAGTTGTTGATGCATAAGCACAGATTACTTATGAAAGTTTTATTAAACTGTGTTCAGTAAATTTAAATGTTTCGCTAACAGACAAAACAGTTAATGATATTTTAAAGAATAATTTGTACAATTTGTTAGCACTTACAATGTGTTTTTGGGAAGATTCTCAGCTACTTACTACCACACTAAAGTGGCTGACCAGTAATTGTCAAACATCCATCCATTATCTTTACCCGTTTATTCCATTTTGGGTCACGGGGGTCGCCGGTGCCCATGTCCAGCAATCACTGTGCGAGGGGCGGGGTACACCCTGGACGGGTCGCAAGTCCATCACAGGGACACATAGAGACAAACGAGACAAACAACCATTCTCTCTCTCACCTAGGGACAATTTAGAGTTACCAATCAGCCTAACATGCATGTTTTTGGTCTGTAGGAAGAAACCGGAGAAAACCCACGCATGCACGGAGAGAACATGCAAACTCCACCCAGAAAGGCCCCTGGACCGGGATTTGAACCAGGGACTTGCTCGCTGAGAGGCAGCAGCTCTACCAGTTGCGCCACCGTGCTGCCCTGTAATTGTCAA